CCCTCGCCGAGCCCCTCGGGCGGCTCAGCGAACCGCTCGCGCACGCAGATCCCGCTGCGCCCGGCCCTCATGGACCGCCCCTCGGACGAGGCGTCAGCGGCGACGGCGGCGGCGGCGGCGGTTCCCGAGACGGAAGAGTCGCTGCGCGAAAAGGAGAAGAAGAAGGGCGGCCTCAACAAGGAGCAGCGCGAGCAGCTCGCGGCCATGGAGGCGCAACGGGCGCTCGTGCGGCAGGAGCGCGTCGACACGCTGGCGCGCAAGCTCATCGACCGCGTCAGCGTGTGGACCGAGACGGACCGCGGCGAGGCCGTGACGCGGGCGTTCCAGGAGAAGACGCGCCTCGAGGAGGCCAACATGAAGATGGAGTCGTTCGGCCTCGACATTCTCCACGCCATCGGCCAGACGTACCTCGCCAAGGCGACGAACCTGCTGCGCTCCCAAAAGTTCCTCGGCATCGGCGGCTTCTTCAGCCGCGTCCGCGACAAGGGCACCCTCGTCAAGGAGACGTGGGGCACCATCTCGTCGGCCATTGACGCCCAGCAGACCATTGAGGAGATGGCCCGCATGGAGGAGCAGGGCGGCGACGACTGGTCCGACGAGCAAAAGGCCGAGTTTGAGCGCCGCGTCACCGGCAAGATCCTCACCGCCGCCTGGCGCGGCTCCAAGTTTGAGATTCAGAGCGTCCTGCGCGAGGTCTGCGACCAGGTCCTCTACGACAAGAAGGTGCCCCTGCAGAAGCGTCTCCAGCGCGCCGAGGCGCTGGTCCTCATTGGCGACATTTTCATCAAGGTACGTCCCGTCTCACCCATTTCCGTTCTTCCTTTGTCCTCTTTCCGTCTCCCTGTCCTTGCCAATACGCAAAAGACACGCGCTAACGTCACCGACAAAAGGCGAAACGCTCCCCCGAAGAGGAGGGCGACCACCTCGTCTTCGAGCAGCTCGTCGCCGAGGCGGCCATCAAGCGCGAAAAGGACACGAAGAAGAAGTCGGGCAAGAAGCACCACCTGCACCCCCACCACGACGAGGCCGAGAAGACGGCCGCCGACGCGCCGAACGTGCCCAAGGAGAAGGCCGACCTGTGAGGGGACCGCCGATGCAACGGACGAGGCAGCGCAGCACGCGGCGCGCGAGGACGGACCGTGAGCCGGAGTAGGTGCCTTGGCGTCCTATAGGATGTGTCTTGTTGCGACATGATGGGCCGGTCGTGAACGGTACGGGCAGGGCAGACGTGGCAGAGGACAGTGTAGAGCGGGGGCGTTGAGAGATGTGTGGGAGGGAAGGGAAGAGTTCGCTCTGTCTTTGTCTTCTTTTTTTTTGCATGGATAATACCACCTTTTTTTTTTCTTCTCCTCCTTATGAAGATAGACTTTTCCGTTTCTTCTTCTCTTGTTCAACTCGAATGTGTTTAGAAGGGTCCTGCTGCCGATTGGATTCCCGGTCTTCGTGGTCTGCTGTCTGTCCAGAGAGACGCAATGTTAGATGTGAAGCTTTTCCGAATCGGCAATGTGGGCAACAGTGGTGACGGCCGATCAGTGCCATAGCTCGACTGAAGCCAGATGTCGATCCATTCCTCCAGCTCGTGCCGCATCTAAACATCCCGAACCGGGTCCCCGACTCGGAAGTGGGCCATGCTCAGCCTTACAATCATCCTAAGTAATCACGAAACGGCAGCATCTTGAATAATTCGTCTTCGCCTCGGCTGGCTGACTAGCTAGCATCTCCCAGACAGAGCCCGTCAGGCTCGCCTTGTTCCTCCATTCTTTATGTGATCCTGGGGTATCTAATGGGTACATGAAATATCCATTCGCGAGGCAGCAGCAACAAGACAGACACACAAAAAAAAACGACAAAAGAAAGCAGAGCCAGATGACACGAGGTGGAGGAGTCCCGATGCAGGTAGTCCGAAATACGGGTGATAGCACACTCCCTCCGAGTGTACGAACTCGTCTTGTCCGCAGAGATGCGTGACGTTTGGGCTTGGTGGGGGAGCAGTGTAGAATAATGGGCGCAGGTGTAATGTCAACCGGAGCTAAGCCCCCGCCTGCTAAAAGATGGAAACAAAAACGCCCCGGGCATACGGTCTTTGCCGTGCCCTCCCTCGCGATGCAATGCTGTGTTGTGGAAAAAGGAAAAGCCGTGGTCCGTGAGTGTGTGTGTGAGTGGTGAGTGATGTGGCGCCGCGACGCCGGGTCGATGACGGGAAAGGTCGTGGAAATTACAAGGTGTATGTGCGAAGAGTTTATAGTGGAAGGTGGATGGCAGTCGAGCAGCTGACAAAGTCTACCCCTCGTCAGTGGGTAGCTCAATGCCGCTGTCTCTTATTTGCGGATCGCCACTCCATGGCGGCGCGAGGTTCGCTCCCTTGAGGGTAGCAGTCGTAGGTGGCACTTCATCCAAGATGGAGTCTGACAGAGTAATGTCGCCGTCGTCGTCCCCGACGTCCCCAGACTTTAGCACATCTGGGTCGTCTTCGTACTGCGGTGCCAGGACCCTTGGCGCCAGCTCCACGTCACTCGCGCGCACCTTGTACTCGAGTGCCTTCTTGCCGTCCTTGATGAGCTCCTCGGTCCAGTTGAGGCAGCGCTTGATGCTCTGGTTGATCTTTTGGCTGTCAACGAGGAGTTCCCGGTGCTTCGTTAGGTCGAGCTGGAGGCGCCGCTCATCCCGCTTGCGGCGGCGGTCAGCGGCTTTGAGGCCTGGGCTGGAGATGGATTCGCTATCGGAGGGGTCCGTGTCATACAGCGACCCGAGATCGTCATCCTCCTCTTCTTCGTCCTCGCCTTCATCCTCGCTGAGGTCGGATAGCTCGAGACCACCTTCCATCCCGACCGCCGTGCCCACCGTCGAGTCGGATGGAACGCGGCTAGAAGCCATAGATGTCAGGGACAGGCGGCCGGATCGCGACAGTCTGCGGTACCGTCTTAGCTCGGCAGTCTGTTTACGTAGTTGACGCTCTAATGATCTGTTGATGGCCTCGAGAGATGCATTGGTAATCTCCAGGTCTTGCACCTTTCGTTCCCGGCGGGCATGGGCAACGAGATCGTTGAGAGGGTCACTCGAGTGCGTCGACTTTGTTGGGCTCTGGAGCTCACCATGACCTTTGGAATCATCCGACTCGGTAAGGTCCTCGGCAGCTTGTATAATAGAGGCCATGGTCACGGCGGGGTTGTTGGGCGCAGAGGTCGGGGAAGAGAGCTCGGAAGAGGGGTGCGAGGCCATGAACCTCGACATGATGATGGCGTCGCCCGAGCTGACGCTGCCGTTTCTAGAATGAGAGCCATGCTGCGGTGGGACTTCGATGCTGACCCTTCGTTTCGCAGCTGGCTGTGCGGCGAGCGTCGGCGGGCTGGCCATCTGCGGCCGACTCGCTGGTTGTGGCGATAACGTGGCCGTCCTCGCCAAGGGCGGTGGGATCGGTTGGGTTTGTTTGTTGGGTGACGTGGGCCGGCTCGTAGCAGCAAAGCCACCGGTCGCGATTGTCGGTGCTGCTCTGGGGGCGTTCATTTTGGAGCTCGATGATACGGTTGAGCCGGCGGCGGAAGCCGGTCGGTAGGCGGGTTGAAAGTCTGGAGCGCCGTTGGCGTAGAAGAACTTGCTTGCCTGTGCCTCCTGCGTCGGTGCCAACACTGGTGTGAAGCCTGGGACGACGCTGGGCGACGTGGGCCGATTCCTCTCGATGGCGCTGCCATTTGCATAAATAAAAGTCGGCGTCTTGATGGGTTGTTGCTGCTGCTGTTGCTGCTGCTGTTGCTGCTGCGTCTTGAGGAGAGAGGGTTGAGAGGAAGGCTTTGCATCACTGGCGTAGAAGAACTTGGAGTCGGAGGGATCATTCCTGCTGCCAAGATCAGATGGCGGGCTGAATGTCACGACGTGCTTCCTGTTCATGTCGCCGTCAAAGACGGACGCAAAGGCCGACCGAGTATCCCAGTCGCTGTTTCGTTCTGGATTCGGCGTGCCGGTCGGCGTGCTGCTGGCGCTGTCGACGCGGGTCTGCCTGCTCCCCGACCGTGGCGTGATGTTGTGGCTCAGGAATGCCGACACGGGGCTCGTGATGTCGTCCTTGACACCACCTCCACCACCACCACCACCAGGGCCCCCACTTGCCCCTGAGGCGGCGGACCCATGGCCGAGGTCTGTTTTTCGGCGGGCGAGAGGTGTGACGAGGGGCGGCTGCTGGTGATGGTGTTGTGCCTTGCTGGCAATCTTGGGGGTCAATGGTGCTCTGCCCATGGCCTTGGCGGCCGAGGCGCTGAGGACGGGCTGGCGGGGGGCTGCGTGGGCTCCCTTTTGATCGTGGGGGTGGCGGCATGTCGCTCAAAGACTTAAGCTTGGGGAGCGATGGAGGGGCGGACGACAGGCGTCTTGTTCAGTGCATTTTTGGGACAGCTTCCGGAGCGGCTGGCGCAGGGTGGACGAGAGTCTCGGTTGTCGCACAGGATATCGCCCCCCTCTCGGGGTTCGCGGTGTTGTTGTTGTTTTGGGTGCGGAGGAGGAGGAGGAAGAAGTGGTGGTTGCGGTGGTGGTGGT